CCTTTTTGCCTATCATTCTGGGTCTGTTTCGTCTGTTTCCCTTCTGGGAAATCCACCGTATTACATATAGGGCGGGGATCGTTTTCGGAAGATTTTTATTTTTTGGGTACCCCGAAAAAGCAAAAATACCTTTGGTGGTGCCCCCCCTCAGTTACAAATGGCTTATAATCCCATGAAAACTAGTTCGATATATCACCAACATAGTTACCATAGTGAAATTGGACAAACATAAACGCACCAACTGAACGCGATTTAGCGAACAAAGGGGCACCACCCTGTGGTGAGCCAACCATAGCCATCCTACTGGGCAGGTCCCGGCTCCGCGATCTTAGCGCGCTGTGGATTCATCTTCGACCAGGTCGGATGCCGAAGAAATGGGCGATTTTGGGAATCAAACATGGATGTGAATGGGATATGAATGGGATATGAATGGGAAATTCATGGGATATTGATATTGATGGTGTTCGATGGAGACACACATGGATATAGCTAGGATTGCAATGGAAATCCCTGAGCTAAATGGATGTTTTCATGGGAAAATCCATACACGGTTGAATTTCCTTTATCATTTTGGTTGCCAAAGGGTAGTGATGAAGCATTCAGATTTTTTCAGCCACAAATCTGACCTCTAGCCACGTTTTATTCCCAAGAAATAGATGGATTTGCGGGGATTTCACCGGCTACAAGAGGTATTGGCGTGAATTTGAGCGGCATTTGCGTGGAACTGGCATGACTTGACCAGCAGGATTTTCCAGGTTTTTTTTGCACTGAGGTTTCAATGGTTTCAATCAACAGATATCAACAGCTTTGGAAACATCTTACAGTATCCAGCAAGATTCCAGCCGTGGGTCAGGTAAAAAAATGTACTGGACATTGTTTATGGACGTTGTGAAAATATCAACTGAGGTGTCCACTCTTGCTTCAGACCCATAGACTCGCACAAGGTGGATGACCATTTTTCCATCATAAGACATCAGAAGTAAAGATGGGTCGGTTTTCATCATGGATCGCACCCTTCCAAATGATCTCTTGCACCCGACTGGTCAGTCTTTTATCAGCTATTTCCACTCGGAAAGTCATCTTTCAAAAGCAAGTTCCAATGCGAAATTATGCGAAGCATCATGGAAAACGATGGATGGATCATCAAGAGAGCACCTTCCAAAGCCAGTCTTTCAGGCGTTTTAAAAGGCCCCAGCTGGGCTACCCGGCTACCCCCCCAAAGTTCCAGCACAGCACAGGTGGTTCGCTCCGTGGAACCTGATTTGGTCGACCATTTGAAGAGGCCATGGTATCTTGAACTGACCAAGTGACCAAGCATTGACGAGCATAGTTTTAAGAGTGGTTACCCTCTGGTAAACTAACAGTTTGCGAACTGGAAAATCACCATGTTTAATAGGTAAATCAACTATAAATGGACCATTGTCTGTAGCTATGGTAGTTTACCAGAGGGTAAAGCCACCAAGCGGCAAATCCTTAAATAGTGGAATAGGTCACTGAATGGAATTGGAATAACTAGTCGTGATACTGGGTCAAAGTGGTAACTTATGCCGCGGTCATCTTCTTGTGCCGCAAACGGTGTGCCGTTGGGAAGTCCATGATATACATGTCATTCTCGCTGGATGAATCAATTGTTTGTGGCATTGATTTTTCTAACACTTTACAGGGGCACACATGTTTTTGAGACATATTCTTCTTGAGATAGAAACTCATGGGGATGGCTTCTCAATAGCTTGACTCGCACAGAAGAGAGAACAGTAGAAGAGAAGAGTAGAGTAGAAGAGACTATATACAGAAGAGTAGAGAAGAGAATCGAATTGAAGAGTAGAAGTGATTAGAGAGGCCTAGAGCAGAGAAGGGAAGAGTAGAAAAGATCCCTGCTGCCTTGCCCTGCTGCCTTGCCTTGCAAAATCCAGATCTCGTACAGATCTCGTAAAGACCTCGTAAGGATCTCGTAAAAATAAAGCAATGAGAATGACATGTAGAACTCCTGGTCTTCTAGAGGTCAAGTCGATGGTGTGCCATGCGGTTTACAACGCTTTGTGTCAGGTTTAAGACAGATAAACGGTACAAAGCGTTGCAGTCCGCATAGGAACTTCATGAAAAGAATGTGCACATACATGGATCGGCAAAGTGATCGGCTGCAGAAACGAAAACTGTTACCTGAGTACTTGGATGTACTCGGTGTGCCAATGGGGAAAACCATCATGGATGACATTCTTAGAGATTAAATATGTTGTTCCGACAATGGGAATTACATCTGAGAACTTGGGTTGATAGAAAACAATTTGTAGGTGTGCTATGCGTTCCTTGACATTTGGGGTGAGGTCAAAGAATTCACGAACTGATGTAAAATGTACCAAATCCCTTGGGAAAATAACAAACCAATCCAAAAACCTGTCCGCGAGGGCCGGTGTGCCATGGTGATTTGCACATGGCGTAAGTTCTTGGGGTCGTGGGGTAAGCGGTGTGCCATGCGGTGGGGTAAGTTCATAGATTTTGGGGCAAGTTACCCCCCGGACTCGTACATGTTCAATACCGGCCTGAAGAATTTAAGGTTCAACCTTGGCCAGATGGACATTTAGAGTCGTTTCGATGAGACTGGATGGGACAGTAATGGACAGTAATGGATAGTAATGGATAGTAATGGATAGTAATGGATAGTAATGGATAGTAATGGATAGTAATGGATAGTAATGGATAGTAATGGATAGTAATGGATAGTAATGGATAGTATGGGTCGATATCTGTACAAGGTGGTGCCCCCACAGTTACAAATGGGTTATAATCCCATGAAAACTAGTTCGATATATCACCAACATAGTTACCATCGTGAAATTGGACAAACATTTGCACCAACTGAACGCGATTTAGCGAACAAAGGGGCACCACCCTTTTCGGGAACTCAGGTTGTGGGATGGCTGCCAGCCCCACTGACCATGGTCACAAATTCGTGGGATGTTCGAAGATATAGCAACAGCAAGCTTCATAACCCTCATCAACCATAAACATTTAGTAGGCTTTCACATTTCTATCTTTTTCGGGCTTTGCGGACTCGCTGGAATTTGATGGAAGCACGTTCGATGGATGTCGGCTGAGCTGCCATGTTCCATGGCTTCTGGATCGTTGTGTCATGGTCTGAGTTGAACCTCTTTCACAGACCCATAGGACCCCCATCATGGTCGGGGCCAAATCAGTGATTGCCCGTGTTGGTGAACTTGCTCTATACAAACCTTCCAAAGACATCCTTGAGTTTTTTTTGAGCTGACATTGTAGACACACTCGAACGCGTTTTTGATTGCAGGTTGGAGATCGAACCCCAGGTATTTCTACTGCGATGGATACGGCTCTTGTTTTGTCGCGAATTTGACTTGCAGGACGGGGGGCTGGGCCTTGGCTCAAAGTGGAAGGAAGCGGAAGTGGAAAGTAAGACCAATGATGTGGAAGCTGTTAGCCACGATGGCGAACCTAGCTACTAATCTCAGCATCCAACATTTTCCCTCTGGTTATTTGTCACATAGCCATGGAAAATCCACCCATTTGTAATAGGTAAACCATCTATTTCGATTAGGGCCATGGCTTCCATGGCTATGTTAGTCATAACCAGGTTGGGTAATTGGATCTGAGCCATCGCGGGATCATGATGGAGATTTGTGGCACCCAAAGATGGTTGGTCTATTGGGGTCATACTTAGCGTACTTTAGAGGGCCTTGGCTTGTATCGGTAAACGTTTACAGTTTGCGAACTGGAAAATGGCCCAGTCGAAATAGTGAGTTTTCCCATCAAAACATGGTGATTTTCCATAGTTATGTAAACGTTTACCAGAGGGTAAATTCATGTCAGATCCTAATCATCCAACCAGTGAGTTTCCATTGCCATTTTTTCGCTCAAGACCAAGAGAAATGAGTCAAGAAAAACTGATGTTCCATCCTTTGGTCAGAGTGGCGCGATGCACTTGGTTGCAACTTCGAATTCTTGATCAGACTGATGTATGTTCCAATTCTTGCCACATTTTTCTACCAATTCACTGGTCAGTTTGGTACCGTTCAGAAATCTTGACCTGGCAACTCCGAAACGCCGAAACTCCGAAGGCGGGTAGATCTGCGAAGTTCGGTTGGCAAGTCCCAAAAAGCAGGGATCCGCACCGACCAAGATTTGACACCCAACTTGAAGCCAAATCACCAAATCAAGTTTTTTGTTTGGTAATCTTCAAGCATTTTGGTGATTTGGCTTAAATTTTGGTAATCAAATTTTGGTAATCACCAAAGCCAAATCACCATTAAAACCAATCTTTTTTTGGGGGTTTTGATGCCAAAGTCTTACCCAAGCCAGACATCATCACAGCCATGCAGTGTGTCCTTGTCGCATGGCGTCCTGAGAACCTTCGAGACCTTCGAGCTGAGGCGCGAGCGCGATCTCCATACCATGGAAGCCATGGGTTTTGGCATGTATTATTGGCTTATGAATGGTGGTGGTTTCCCGGGTTTGTATGGGTTTGTTGGTTTATAACCCCCATCTATAGAACTATAGAATACTATATAGAATTATATAGATATATCTACCATAGAGCCTAGTTGACCTATGTTGACCTAGTCATTTGTAAGCCAACTTTTCTAATTATGGGGCACCACCTTGCACTAAAACATATGGTGATTTTTTTTGTTTTGAAAAGTATGTTTGGATTACTATCTACACTATCATACATCTGAATGGTTTCCAAATGACTTGAATTTTGGATGATGTGCTTTGCAGCCAGATTTGTTCAAAGACATCTATACATATCTTGGGGCTTGTCTCAGGAGTCGGTTTCTATTATGCTTTGCAATATGTAGAATCAACATATCAAAACTGCAAGATTATGCTCCCAATTCTTTGCTAAGTTGGTTCAGTTCAGTAGGTCTTATGAGTTATATAAGTGTTGGGTTTATGGTTAATGTGTCCATAGTTGGATGTTTTCTTTAAACAACACCGACCAACATATCTGGTTGGCACCCCCCTCAGGCATGAGCTCCAGCGGCAGATCTCGCGCATGGCGCATCGTGACATGGTCCAAGTCCGATGTCTTGAGATCCAAAGAAGGGGAGAACATGAACCATAGTGAGAATATCCATAGTGGGAATATCCAAAGAAGGGGGATGTCTTGTGAATATCCATGGAACATGAACCTCAAGGGGGGACTTTCCATATTTCCAACCATAGTGGCTAGTCACAAACAATTTCCTACACTCGCTGCTCGCAGTGATCAAGTTATACCTCAGAATCTTTCAGATGTGTCACTTCGGGATTTAGATGATTACAATTTTAGAGCGGTAAAAAACCGTCCCGTATCATTCTTCTGTTGCTTACATCGAGATGTGTCTTTCTAAGTCATGTTAAGTCACAATTCCGGGGGATCCCTTCTCACATCGTAATATGTTTTTCTGGGTTAAGTCGTGTTAAGTCACCATTTTTCTCCGGAAAAAAATCGAACTCTCTGCCGCAGCCCTACTGTTTTGATGGTGAAGTACTTCCCTTGCCCCAGGTAGCAGTGTCTGTGGCTCTCTCGGCAGCTCCAAGCACGACTTGGGTGTCAGGCGACAGGGAGATTGGGGAACAAGCATATGGAATAGCTCAGTTATATAGATAGATTAGATAGACATATGATGACATATGTATATATATATATATAATGCCAACACCGGATTAATAACCCCCCTCCCCCACCAGGTAGGTAGGTAGGTACCTTCTAGCTAGTTTTCTTGACTACCCGTAAATAAACGGCCCTGAACCATAAAATTCTGAACCATAAAACTTTGGATATGGCTTACGTCAATTAGATCTTAATAGAATTCCATTGGATTTGTTAAAATTTCATGGATCAGAAAGGTGGTTGATTAATCAGGGGCAAACCATGGTTATTATTAATGGGGGAGATGGGCTCATGGGGGGTACCCTTTGGGAGCTATCCGAACTGATGTTTTTAATAAAGATTTTAATTAGAAATCGATCATTTGGGGAATAGTTGTTTTTCGAAATTTTCAATGATCAACTTAAACCTGAAGTATAACAATGATGATTAAAAAAAATGTAAAAAACAATTGGAAATAAATAGAATTGGAAATAAAAAATGTTGGATAAAAAAATGGATTTCAGCACTGGTGGTTGATTAATCGGGGGTAGGCCCACCGGTTTATTAATCTGAGGGGACCACCTGTTTTTAAATTACATTTTTTTTTTGGGCAATGGTTGTTGATTAATTCGGGGGGTATTATTAATCCTCACTTGACATTATATTATATGGGTTGATTAAATCGGTTAATATATCGGTTATATATCGGCTATCTATGGAATATAGACCACTAGCAGGGTACCCCCAGCTACACCCCAAAAAAAGTAATTTTGCAGTGAAGATGAATGGTTGTTGAGGGTATGAACCATATGGAGGTTTCTTAAAATGGAGGATCCCCACAACCATGGGTTTCAATAGTACTAATGGTCTAAACTTTGGATGATTCCTCCATTTGTAGATATGTGTGGTATGTGTTGAGTTAACATTTCAGATCCAAGGGACCAGGACCACAGATATCCACAGATTTTCCTAAATTTGATCCATAGCACCATTGGGAACTGGTAAATCTTCAAGCAATTTGCCACTCTTGGTACATGGGGTTTCCCTCGACAGACCACTGGCCCTGGCACGTGGATGATATGGTGGATCCCCATTCTGAATTTCTCCATGAGATCTCTTTCTCAATGGTATATATGGTGATTTACCGCAGAATATCTCATTCTATCATATATATATATATACCCTCTGGCTCTTTAACATAGCCATGGAAAATGGCCCATTTATAGTGGATTTTCCCATTAAAACCTCCATTTAAAATGGTGATTTTCCATGGCTATGTTAAATAACCAGATGGTATATATATATATATATATATCATCAAAGGATCCCCAGACTTCGTTGCTGAAATCCCAGGTTGGTTCTTCGATGCATCGTCCCGAGGCTGGGCCCTGGTTGAAATACTCTTGGGGACTTTCAGCAACTTCAGTTTTTTTTTTTCATAGATAGATAATGATAGATAGTTAGATAAGAAAAACACGACAAATGGGGACATCAATGGATTGGTTTAGGGGAAAATTTACAGGAAACCGTATAGATTTTCCCATTACATATATTTACATATGGGGTTTTCCTGTAAAATTTCCCACGAACCAATCCATTGAGGACAGATGTGCCACCGGATGTCCGAGATTTTGCCCGCAACGCTACGCGTTAAACGCGGGCAGACACGAAATGTCTAAGGTCGACCCGGCTGCACCTTTCGATGTGCCGAAACTTGGTGAAACGTTTGGCTTTTGGTCATGGGTCGAAAACATGAAAAAACACAGTGTTTAATATAGATTGGTGCTATAAATCTATTAATACACCATTAAACTAATAGACTATATTAACCAAACATTAAACATCATTAGAGCAGTGTGGAAAAATGGGAACAAAAATATATGGTTTCCTGTGGCCTTTAAAATTCCCTTCAGCAGCAATCCGAGACGAGGTTTCGGGGTTCAGGATCTTGGTGATTTCCATGGATGATTTTTTAGCCACCCAGGTGTCCCGAGAAAAGGCATGGGTTTTTGGAGGGTCTTCCCATGGGATTGTTTTCTGTGATTTTTCGAAACGTTTCACCAGGGCTACCAGGGATTCTGATGGTTTTTACCAAGTCCCATACCATCCCATACCTTTCTTTGTGATTGATGTGATTGCACTAGATTGTATGGTACGTTGACAAGAGACCTCACTATCATGTCTGGATGACTGAGGGGATTCTGTTGGGGATTTCAGGTTTGGTTTGGCATACAATAGTGCCAGTCAGGAGAATACCTGTGTGAAGCATCTTCTGTTTGTATGATGATCACCCAAGTAGGGCTCCCATGTGCTAAGTGTGCCAGCAAATGTGGATGCCACCCGTCCTACTTTTATGGGTCAATTTTGACGATGCAACTGCAACGTTTGACCTTTTTCTTTCGATCTGGTTGTCTGCTCATGTTTGGTCACCTCACGCGAGAGATTTCGGGCCACAGCGGCCACGATACAAACTGCCAATCCCTGGCATTTCAAACAGTTTGGTGTCAGTTTCTCAGCAATCAGAAAGAGCTCTTCGCATGATTGATTTGTTCATGCTGAATTTGCAACTCAGGAATACAAGTTTCTGATTGCAAAAATGGTTTGACTCAGAAATACGCAACTGCTATTGCCGTTTCTGGGATGGAAGTCCATGATTTGATTGGGTATGGGTCGGAGTCTTCAACCTATAGACTAGCAGGGTCATGTTCATTTCGTTTTGTGACGCTTTTGGAATCTAAATCGTTAAAAGTCTCTAAAAGTACCAAAAGGGCCATGCCCATGTTTAATCCTTTATAATGAGTCCCTCCCACAAACCATGGACTTGCGAGCTCCTGTTTTTAGCCTCAGGAAGACCTAAAAGGGGAGTCCGGAAGGCGACATCGGGTGATGGTTGACTAACTGACTGGGGGGATGGAACTCGCAGTGGAGATTGCAATTATCGACCAGCGTAAGGAGCAGTTTCCTGTTGCTTTTCAGGGTTGTACAGTTGTACCCAAACTTGTGCAGGATGAGAATCGCTTTTCCGAAGTTTTCCAGCGGTGACTGCAACGTCACTATGAGTCATTGTGTGAGTATGAATCATGATTTCCTCGCATGAGCTAAATTGGGCGCTACAATTAGGAGTCAGAGACCTAGGACATTTGATTTCGGGTTTTATATATTTACTACACCAGTGGATTCAATGTTGCTGGATGATGTCGGATTCTCCATTATCATTGCTACATACTTCATACCTCTAGTTAGGAATACTGCAGCAGGAGCAGTTGGGATTTGCTTCATGCACCGGGATTTTCCCATGTTTTGGGGTCCCCCATTCTTAAGAGATCCCCATATTCACTTCGTAACTGGAGCAGTACCCCCTTTCACCACCGGGGGCAAGTGGAGGACCAAAGTGACTGCGGAAAACTTCGAAACTCCCGGCTGGAAAGGCTGGTTGCTCATTTGGGAAGAACATGGAAGAACCTACATAGTTGGTTCACCCCACTTAGGGCTACTTATAATATGTTTGTTTGATAATTAATTTAGGAGAAACACGGAACAACCCTCCAATTGAGGGTATCCCTCATTTTGAGACAAGCCCACTTAAAAAGTGGTTGTATTGGCGTTTGTGGGGTTAGTTGCCAATTTGTAAATGGGACTTATCGCCGCTTGGGGACTTATCGATCAGCAGGGCGAAGCATTAGTTTCCGATGGCATTTTCCGGCAATCATCTTCCGAATCAACAGCTTCCAAGTGGATGATTGCCCTAAAGTGAACCGTAAACTGATCATGTAATATTGAGAAGGTACTTGACTGAACTTCCAACCCAATGCATGTTTCCACTAGGTATATAGCAACATATAGCATTGTCCAATAGCTAGGAGCAACTGTTCCCCAAATCACATCGTTTCCATGAGCGAAGCTGTGGCTGTCACACCTATACCTGAAATGGGGCCAGATGACCCAGTAAACTGCAATAGGGCAAACCGTTGGTGAAATGAAATGGGTAGTTGTAAGCCCCAATGTATACAAAAATTATTTGATCGCACATCCCCCTGACCAGCGAGTGTTTCAACTTTTAACTTTTTGTTTGGTTGGGTTCGCGCGCTCGGGGGTATCTATTTCACACCCAAAAATCGCGCGCGAACCCAAAAAAATAAAGAAGCAACTGTTTTGGGCAAGGGAACCCACTGACCTTGCCCCATTTCTGCAAGTTTCAACCCCATCAAGATAAGCTGATTGACAAGTAGCAGCCCACCTATCAGACCCACCTATAAACTTCCTGGTAGTTTCTACCAGCTCATACCATTCTTATAGTTACTGGCAAGCCAGCCTGGCAGAGAATTCCACATTTGCTTTACATCCATTGGGTAAATTCTAACGACCTCACTGCGACCTGGAATAATGGTTAGTAAGGGGAATGGGATCCCAATATGGTCGGAATTTCCGATTCGTGAATTTATATAATTATGGGATATTTTTTTTTTTCGGTCGAGCATATGGGCTCCCGACGGACAAATTGTAAAAACTGAGACTGTACAAACCGACACCACACCCTTCCAATAAAAAGAACTCCTCAAATAAATTCACAATGCCGTCCACACCTGCACTTATGAAATTACCACGAGAGTACCTTGAGAGGCCAGTGGCCTGGGACTTGCCCCCTTTAGAAAGGGCCAATCCGTTGTGTAGCCCATTGTTTGACTCGATTCATGTGTTCAAGATCTGAAGGGTCAAAAAACTGATCGTGGCCATACATGTGCTGGAAGGCGTCTTTATATGTTTCAGTTAGCCAATCTAGTCTGGGTCTACCTGGCCGCCTTTTGTCTATCGAACGGGGACGAAGTCCATCTGCTGCAAACGTGACTTGGTTCAAAGGGTCAGCTCTGCTACTTCTAAGCATGTGCCCTAGAAGTTTCAATTTCTTTTTTCTCCAAGTGTCTCCGAAAGGTTCAAAATGGCACCCATGTTCCTGTCTGATCTCATCATACATCTTCAGGTTGGTCTGTTCCCGGTCTATGAAAGTAGGAGGTTTCTTGAGAATACGTCGTAATGTTTTGTTTTGAAAAGCATTGAGCTTAGAGATTTCATTTTGGGTCAGCTGTATACATTCTAAACCATATAGCAGTTTTGATCTTATGATAGCCGTGAACACTTGGATTTTCCATTTGATTGAAGTGTTAGCTTTATCCCAAAATAGCTTTAAGCGCCGACATGTAGCAATGCAATCCCCTATTCTGTTGAGAATCTCTGCTCTATTATCAAAGGAATCCGTCAAAAGGGTCCCTAGATACACTGCCGATTTCCTCCTTGGGACAAATGCCCCCTCTGCCGGTCCTTCTTGTGCAAAACGCACAGAGCTTTGTCGCTGGTTGGCGGTCAGATTGACGCATTTATCATAATTAAGATTAACGCCAAAATATTTAGAGTGGCGCTCGATGGCATGAAGGAAAGTGTTTATGCACTGTGTGTTGGCTCCAAAAATCAATGTATCGTCAGCATACAAAATTTTACTGAAGTAGACACCATCTAGCGGTTCAAGTTGTCTGGGCGTATAGATTTCTTCCATGACATCCGCAAAAAGGGCTCCCATAACCAAGGTGAATAAATAAGGGGAAAGCGGGCATCCTTGCCGAATTCCTGAGCACTGCGATCTCCACGTTGATTCTGCTTCTCCCACGCAAACTTTAAATTGGGGATCGTTATACAAACTCCCGATCAGATTGCAGAGTTTTTCGGGTACCTTCAAGCGATATAAAGTTTCTATTAGTTTATCTTGGGATACTCGGTCGAAAGCCTTTTCCGAGTCTAATAGAACAAGTGTACATCTGGCATTGGATTTTTCTGCTATGTCCTGGAGACGCCTGGCCAGGAAGATGGCCTGGGCTGTGCTTCTATGTTTCCTAAAGCCATACTGTGTGGAACAGATCCATGCATCTAGCCCAGAGTCTAGCCGTTCCTTGACCAAGGCCGCCATGATTTTGTAACAGCTGTTTAGCAAAGAAATGGGTCTGTAGTTAGCTAAAGACGAAGCATCGCCCTTTTTGTAAATACTAATAACGACAGCATTCATATGGTGTTGTTTCACCTCCTCATGTCTAAGACAAGTGTTAGCAACCTTAAGGAAAAGTTTCCGATTATTTTGGTCAAGCCATTTAAAAAGCTCTCCTGGAACACCATCTACTCCTGGAGTTTTGTTATTTTTAACCTTTTTTAGAACAGCATCTAACTCATCTATTGTGAAAGGGTCGTCAGACACGATGTACCTGCCGTCCTGCAAAGGGCTATCGATCCTTGAAGGTGCAACTGGGTCTTCTGCTGAAGGGCATTTCCATTGGGTTGTCGCCAAGTAGTCTGCAGCTTTCTGCGGGTAGTCACTGTATGGAACATGATTGCCAGCGGAATCTTTGAACTTAGTAAAATTAGGAGTGAATTTGGCTCTCATCTTTTTCAATCCATCCCATTTATAACCATCTTGATCAACCGCTTCTAATTCGTTCAGTAAGTGTTGCTCTTTGTCAAGTCGAACTCTCTTGGTTATATCCTTGCTCAGCGTTTCCGCCAAGGCCGAATCTTGGTTTGAAATGGCTTCCCATCGTTTTTCTAGAAGGTCCCATGTATCTTTCGAAATGTAATCCTTTTTCTGCTCTGGATGACATCTTGGGAGCGTGGCTTGCGAACTTTCAAGAAGAATTGAGTTCAGCAAATCAAAACTGTCAGTATTATCACATGATTGAAGATCATCAGCTTTTTGTGCCACACAAGCATTATAATTGGCTATTTCATCTCCCGAAGGTTTATGAAATTTAATCCGTGAAGTAGTTTTGACACGGCCTTTCTTCTTCAGTTTTAGACGGACGTTGGCAATCAACATCTTATGATCCGTGTCAATGTCATGCACCTCTGTGGCGAAAATATCTGTGATACCATTTTTCCATGGTTCATTAACGAGAATATAATCCATTTGGCTATATTGATGTGGATGCCATGGAGGGCTCCAGTCCTTAACCCCTACACTTCTGTATGTCACAAGTTCAGCTTCGGGTTTGCAGAAGAATGTGTTTTTCACCACAAATTGGTTTTCCAGACAAAACTCTACAAATTTGAAACGGTTTTCCAGCTGGGCATCACTAAGAAAATCAAGATCCTGTCGCTCGATCCCAAAAGTGTAAGGTCCTACGCAAGTCTCGTGTGGAAGGGCTTTAATCAATCTTGCATTGAAATCTCCAAGAACTAATTTAGGAGCGAAGGCATAGTTTATTGACACAAGTGATTCTAATTCCGCGTAATGCGCTTCTGCTGCTTGTGAGTCTCGGTGGCACGCCTGAGGCGCATAAGTAGATAAGATGTCCAGGACACCACATCTAGTTTTCAATGATACCATGATATTTCTAGCACTGTGCTGTCGAACATCTAAAACATATTTTCTGATACGTGGATGTAGAACAACGCCAACCCCAAGATGTTCAATAGCATTTCTGAAGGTTTGTCCATGTTCGGGGTTGTCCCTTGACCCCTTACCCGAGCGTTTGAGATCTATCGCTTTGTTGCGGTCTTCGTCTTTGATTCCGCTAGACCAATAAAAACTAAAACCATCATGCAGTTCCATGGAGTTAACATTAATTTTTGTTTCTTGCAAGCAAAGAATGTCTAAATGGTATTTCTTCATGGTGTGGACAAGTCTTTCCCGGCTAGAAGGTGATGCAAGACCTCTACAATTAAGACTTGCAATCTTGTAATCGGTGATCCCATGATCCTTAAAACTATTGTCCTGATAGTCAGAAAATCCTAATGAAAACTCTTCATGTGTAATAGTATGTGTGTGGGAATCAAAAGGTTTCGGTTTGAACCAATCAAGAAACTCAAGATTGTCCGTTGGATCTTGGACCTTGAACAGCGGCACCTGCCTGGCCAAAGCAAGGGCCTGTGTCTTTAAATGACGATAGGATATCCTATGCATGTTTCTGTTTCTAGCTCTGTTAACTCGACGTCTAAGTAAAGCAGTATTAGAACGGCATTTCCGTTTGGGGCCCATCTTCGTAGAATCAGTTGATTGCAGTTTTGGGTTCGACAGTTGGTTACCGCCGTCTGTTCGTTTAGAACGTTCAGTGCGGCTTTCCCGCATTGCCATGGGGGGGCCTGTGTGCGCTGCATTTGATTGGAAATTCGCCTCTAGAGGTTGTGACAAAGCTTGATTATGGAGCGATAAGTTGTTGTATGTTAGTTTGGCAATTCTGTGTTTGTTTTGTGTCTGGCTGCCTTTCTTCTGTTGCAAAGATTGAGAGTACCAAGAGATTACCTCGAGAGACCCGTAGGTCTTGTGGCCGTAGCCACTGTCACGTCTGAACCTTAAGTTGCTGGCATTGACCTTTTGTGATGTGGTTTCTTTCTGTGCGATACTTTGTGTGCCCGGCATTACCGTATGTTGTGGGTGGGTGTCGGGAAAAGCCTACGGCTAAGACACGGCGGGGTGAGACTTCACAGCTCCCGGTCAGAAGGTCTTGCTGCCATGTAGGGGCGGGTGGCATCTGCAACGGCTTCTTGCCAGAGTTCCCTCCAAACCTCCCAGTGCGAAACGGTGTCATCTACGATGCGCACGTCGATCATGAAGGGGTACCTTGCCGTACTCGAGTGGGATGTGTGCGTCAAAGGTAAGTGGAAAGGGTCCTTCTCGGTGCTGGCGGCGCTCTGTGCCATCGATTTTCCTTTGCCATTTCCTTTGCCTTTGCCATTCATGTACTCATCAAACTTTGGGAGAAAGAACCTCTGGAACGCATCAGGGTCGGGGATATTCTTTGTGGAGAGGTACACTGTGACTTTGCCCTTTTCCGGTGAGAAGTGCGCCCATAGGATGTATTCTGCGGAGTCCTTGTGTACCAAAGTGTGATCTCTCCAATTCTGCTTGAAGGGGATTTGCTGTTCCTGGGCGATGTTCATAGCTACCTTGAGTGGGATTCCCGTAGTACGGTCCCATAATGAGATCTGCGGTTGAATCTTGATTGTGTTGCCTGTGTTTTGCTGCCCGTTGCCGAAGGCTTTGGTGAGCTTTTCCCATTGCGTTTCTTCCTCATCTTTGAGGTAGAACTTCTCTTTCAGGCCGTCGCTCTTCTTCACGTAGTCTAGTAACTTGGATCTTTGCCATGGTTGTGTGACTGTGACAATTGTGATTGCGGAGAGCGTGTCTCCTCTGGTTTGATGGCTGTAAGTCCAGTCACGGTAGTAGTTGCTGGTGATTCCTGCCCTCTTTGCTGTTTCTTTGATGTATCTCTCCCTTGAGTCTGTCTGATTTTCCATGAGGAGCCCTTGTAGTTCAAGATCGGCATGAGAAGGGGGTGTGAATGTTGTCCATCCTCCAAAGATTATTTCTTTCTTTGCTTTATCTCTCTGTGCATCTGCATGTTGCGCTAGCAGGAAGGCTGCCTGCACCTTGGTCGCTGATGCCTGTTCTTGGATTTCCCGGATAGTTCGCAACAGGATCTCTTCATCCATCATCGATTCATCTTCATGTTCTTTCTTTTCTTTCTCGAATTTCAATTTTCTCGAAGCTGGTTCCGGGGTGTCTCCTGTTGCCTGATGCTTTGCCTTTGACGCCATTGCTGTGGTGCGGCGAAAATTTATCTGTGCTAGCTGCTACGCAGCGTTGAACCCGAAATGCTAATTATGGGATATAGATCAGTATATATAGATCACGGTTTCCATGATCCTCAAAAACTGCCCCGAGCCAGGCCTGAAGGGGCAACGAATCCCCAAGGGTTTCGAAACCTGGTCGGACTACACCAGGTGCAGGGCTTGGGCCATGGGTTCAAGGGGTTTGTGGGGGTGGGGAAAGGGTTGGGGAAAGGGTTCGGGAAGGGTTGGGGAAGGGTTGGGGAAGGGTTTGGGGAAGGGTTTGGAAGTCGGGTTTCGAAGTTTGGAGTGACACGTTTTGTGGCGGGTTTTATGTGATTAAGGCATATTAAGCCACTTAATCAACTATTTGGTGTGTCATGTGAACCATCCAGAAATGGATCTATGGCCTTGGTCCTCAGGTCTCAGGTCTATCCGATTGTTGGGGGAATGGTGACCTGGAGGGTACCAATGCCAATGTCTATGGGGTCCCTGGTGGGTCCACAACCTGCTGCAGCAGTGATAAGGTTGCCGATATTGAATGACATTGATTCAATTGATTTTGATTGTCTTCGTTCCTTTTCCTGACGCGTGAAAAGTTGCGACAATCCTGGGGAAAAAAGGAACCAGCACATTTCAGTTCTTGCGCTATATAGGCTATATTGCTAAACGGTACATACTTGTTGGTCTCCAATTCAAAGGATATCTAAGTATATAGCCCAAGTTGTTTCAGGATGACATCCTTCAACAGTCTTGTTTCATTGCCACCGGCCTCAGGTATGCGCTTGAGGGGATCAAGGCTATGCGCATGGGGAATCGCATTGGGTCATAGCTTGCTGTTTTTAAAATGTCCTACCGGCAAATTGACATATATAGGTAAATAGATGTTAGACTTAGTGACTTCGGAAACGTCATCAAGGAACCCCAAGAAAAGGGTGCATCGTTCGATTTTCTGGTCGCCGGTCGCTTTAGCCTTCTTTCATTTTTTTTTTCTGTTACATGATTAGGCCTAGAGGAAAACCCAATGATTGTCGATTTGAGAAAGGAACACCATAATTCTTTGCTCTGCATTTGAAAATTTGAGCAGCTGCTGTTATTTGTGCCATGGTCAAGACTAGGGTAAAATCATGGAACATCCATTAATGGGTAAAATCCATTAAAATCCATTAAAATTCAATTTTACATTAAAATATTACAGGAATAGGATGGAATAGGCTAAAATCCATGGAAAATCCCATCTTGGGGAACGGTCATCAGTCCCATCGTTTGATGAGGTGAATGGTCCTTTGGGACCCACTGCGGAAGCTTGGACTAGCCGCTACTAGCCTTTTCCCACAAAGATGGGGCCATGCTAAGCCAAAGGCCAAAGGACTTGTGATTTTGACATATGTTGAGATATTGAGTTATCCTTTTGGTTCATCAGTTGAGATATTGAGTTATCCTTTGGTTCATCAGTTCATCAAACATTTTTTGCGAAATCGCCCATTTACTTCGATGATTTCTCCGATGCACCTGATACACTTTGATGGGGGATTTCCCAGCCATGCCTGGATTCACGGTTTCTTGCTGTTTGTTTTTTCATTTTTTGCCTCAAGGATGAACAATAACATTAAATATTAAAAGAACATAAAAGAACCATGAACACGTCCTGGCTGAATCATTCTGGACATTTCTAGCGCTATTCCGCGAATTTCCCGCACAATTCCGGGAATTTCCGCCACACATCCGGGAATTTCCGGCACATTTCCGCGAAATTCAGGCAAACATATCCAACCACAAATCCAAGAATCTTGAGTCAACGAACATGTGTATACAGTTGTTAAATTCAATGCAATTTTCCCTCCATGTCTTAACTCCCCTATCAAGCGTTCTCTATCTCAGAAGCTCAGTCAGACTCAGTCAGTTCCAAAATATGCCCAAAATAACCCGTATGCCGTATGCCACATTTTCAAAAAAAAGGAACAAAACTCAAAAAAAGGCACAAATGGGAATGTTCCATTTGCACCTTTGTGTGGGCCATACTTTGGAAGCTCTAGGTGTTTAGGTGGGGGTGGCTGGCATCATTTTGACTGAGGTGTCCATGGATTAAACGGATAATGAATTTGGTAATTCGGCAATTCCGCCTCCATTTACCCCTTGAATGGCTTATATACTTATTGCCTATTTGATAGGATCGTAAAGTGCAGAAGCCCATACGTTTAGCCATGCGAGATCAAAACACGTGTAGTGCCCAGGGTTCATTCGATCCATACCAATTTGCATGGTAGCGGAGCTGGCCGCTTAAACAACAGCCCGTGATAACCGGAGGAAGTCAGCACATGCGGATTCAGGACAGATCGTTGTCAGCAGGTGCAGTGGTTCTGAGAGGCTACAATCATCCGGCCAGGTGGCCAACCGGAAATCGTTGGTTCAAAGGGTGTTGGAATTTTACAATCTACACCTTGGCAACAATCGGATTTTTGTTTTTGCCTTTTGGAGTTTCAGTGATCATGACAGATGGACAGCAGGCTGGACAGACGGAGTTTCAACAGATGATGACTGTTTTACAACAGGTGGCTCAGGAACAGGCCACCCAGCGTGCTCAGATGGATCATCTTCAACAGGCGATTGGAACCACTGCACAAGGTGTCGGGCTGACACAACAAGTGACAGAAGGTGTTGTTACTGAAGTGGTACAACAAGTGCAGGCATCTATGCAACAGAGGCATCAGGAGACACAGGATCAGTATCAACAGATGATGCAGGTTGTACAAGGGCTGCATCAAAGGATTGAACAAGTTCAGGCTGTGTCCGCGGTGGCCAGTGGTGGAGCACCAGCGGGATCGGGACCAGGATCACCGGTGGCTGGCACTCCACCACTGCCGCAGGGGCCGCAGCCTCCAGTGGGCAGTCCGACGAATGCCCAATTTCCTGCACAAGGCCCTGCAATGTTTGCCCCCATGAGTGCAGCGGTGGGCGGCGTGAATCCTGCTATTGCGTATGCGATACAACAGGGAGGAGTGGATGCAAAGGTGTTGGCAAAACCCACAATCTATGATCCTGTCAAACATACGGGTTACTCAGCTTTCAATGACTGGTCAGATCATGTCATCACCTGCGTTGATGCACAGATTCCTGGAACGTGGGAAATCATGGAGTATATCAAGGACAGTCAACCGAGCACAGTGATGAGTGTGGATGATCTCAATTTGCATTTTCCAAATCTGGACAAGGCAACTCTGGAATACTCCAATTCGAACCTCTATGCGGTGCTCATCACGTACACCTTGAATGAAGCCAGGAACATTGTGCGACAGGCGAGGAGACCAAATGGGTATGAGGCATGGAAGCTTCTTCACAAGAGGTTTAATCCAGTGACAATTGGACGGCAGAGAGCCGGGCTGACCAGCATAGCCAACCCCACTTCCAATGTGCCGCTCAACCAGCTGTCGGGAGAGATTGTGTCATGGGAGGCCAAGATCACCGAGTTTGAAGCCAGACCCAGCGCTGAAAGGATCAGCGAGGCCATCAAGATGGCGGCACTTGTCAGCATGTGCCCCACCAAGTTGAAGGATCATCTTCAACTCAATGCTCAGAGGTTCCACCACTACACGGACCTAAGGGAGGAGATTTTTGCGTACCTGGACCACACTCAATCAGCAGCTGCCACGGCAATGGATGTTGGAGCAGTTCACAAAGGTTCAGGTTGCTACGTGTGTGGAGGACCTCACTTGCAGAAGGATTGCCCGAGACGGCAGAAAGGAGGAGCTGGGTTTGGGAAAGGTGGCAAAGACAAAGGAAAAGGAAAGTCAGGAGGCAAGGATAAAGGAAAGGGCAAGAAAGGAGATAAAGGAGCATTTGCCAAGGATGGCAAAGGAAAAGGAAAGCCCACCTGTGCCAACTGCGGCAAAGTTGGACACCACAGAGATCAGTGCTGGAGCAAGCCGCCAAAACCACTCAATTCCATTGATCCCAGGCTGTCACAACTTCAGTCTGAATATGCCAAGAGGGCCATGGAGGAGTTTCAGAGGACTACAGGAGGAGGTGCTGCCAGCAGTGTTGGGTCAGGCGGACAAAGCTCAATCAGCCTGCCTTCAGGATCGCCGAGTGTGGCAAATGGCAGCTCAGCAGGACAGGTCAATCTGGGAGGAGTGACTGCACAGAGGATCAGACAGCTTGGGGCATTGTCGAGGAGAGGCAACAAGAGGTACAAGAACGATCAAGAGGATGAGGAGAGACCTCACCCAGTGCCACCTGTCAGCTTGAAGAAGTATCTTGGGATGGAGCCTTACTGCGTGAGGTCAAACCTGGACAGCGGTGCTGCTGTCTCTGTTGCTCCAAGAGAGACCTTTGTGAGCTATCCCATATTACCGTCAACAGAAGGAGAGCTCAACCTTGTGGCGGCAAATGGTGAGACAGTGAGGCACTATGGAGAAGTTCATCCGATTGTGGTGTCAGAAGAAGGTCATCTCAGGACGATGAGGTTTCAGGTGGCCGACGTGAACAAAGTGCTGACCAGTGCGGCTCAGGTAGCGAATCAGGGCTACCGCATTGTGCTAGCGGGAGAAGGCAAAGAGTCCTATTTTGAGGATCAGGAGTTGGGAGACAAGTTCAACTTGTATCAAGAGGATGGAATCTATGTGCACTACTTGCACGTGTTGCCTTACTTTCCCAGGCCAGGAGAGAATTTCCAAGGGCAGTTGGTGAGTTTTCCAGGGCAGTCATCGGGGAGTTCCTCGAGCGGTCTTCCCGGGACGTAAGACCAGAGCAGAGATTGCATGCGTTGGAGGATGTGGAAGAGACAGAAGCGGTACAGGAGCATCCTTCAGAATTAGATGAGAGGCTGAGTGAGAGGAGTGACCTCTTCGAAGTAAGAGGCAGTACTTTTGCAAAGGCTGCAGGAGTGGAGGACGATGACTATGAGCCCAGCTTCCTTGATGAAGGTGAGGAGCTAGAGGACCCTTATCAACAAGAGGCAGAGGCAAGTTCAAAGAATCTTGCAATTGCAGTCCCCAGGCAACCCACAGAACAGGAGAGGAGAGAGCATGAAATCAGTCATCTCCCTTATCGAACTTGGTGTAGTGACTGCGTCAGAGGAAAAGGGCTGACGTCGTCTCATCGGTCTCGAGGTGACCGTGAAGAGGAGAAAGGTAGGAGGAAGCCATTGATCGCAATGGATTACTTTTACTTAGGCAAAGATGAGGATCAGAGTTTGCCGATTTTGGGCATGGTGGAAGAGCAGACAGGGAGGACGTATGCCATTTGCATGCCAGAAAAGGGTGTTCAACATCAGTACAATGTGACAGCTGCCGCCAAAGTTCTTCGAGTTGCGGGATGCTTAGGAGGCGTTCTGAGGAGTGACAATGAAAGATCATTGGTAGCTTTGCGTTCAAGGTTGCAAGAACTTTTTCCAACACTGGGCACAGAGGACTCAACGAAGGGTGAGTCGCAGAGCAATGGGCTTATAGAGAGCTACATTGGGAAGATTGAGGCCCAGGCAAGAACTATGAGGAGTGCGTTGGACAGACATTACCCTTTTCTACATGCAAGACACCCTGTTTTGACATGGATGGTCAACTATGCAGCAGCGTTGTTGAGTCGATTCAACAGAGGAGCTGATGGCATGACACCTTATGAAAGGTCATGCGGAAAGAAATGGAATGTGAAGTTGCCGGAGTTTGGGGAGACAGTTTGGTATCAACCCCTGAAAGGTGAGAGGGCCTCAGGGAAATTGGAACCCAAGTTTGAGGAAGGGATTTACTTGGGAATTCAAGAAGGGTCAGCTATGAAATGGGTAGGCACACCCGTTGGAGTTCAAAGATGTTGGAGTATCAAGGCGAAGGCAGGTGCAGACAGATGGGACAATGCAGCCATGAGGATGATGATTGGCTTGCCGTGGAAGTTGAAGCCCGACGTTCAGGGGCTTGAGAAAGATGTCAAGTTGCCAGGGCAGATTGACATAGGCCTGCCAGCTCCACCCCTTGAAGATGAGGCGCCAAAGGAGGTGGAGAAGTCAAGGAAGAAGGGCTATCAACCAAGAGGCATCTACATTCGAAGACATGTAGAGCTGGAAAAGTATGGTTTTACTCCAGGATGCGATGGATGTGAGGCAGCTGAACATGGGTTGTCCCACAAGCATCATACAGCAGCTTGCAAGAAGAGAATTCGAGATGCAATGATGGCTACAGAGGAAGGCAGACGTAAAGTCGAGGCCATTGAGAAGAGAGCTGAGGAGTTCATCGTGCGTTTCAAAGAAAAGGAGGACGCAGCAAAGCAGCAGAAAAGAGATGCTGAGGAGCTTGAAGAGGAGCACAAAGGCAAA